TTGAATTTTACAGCAATTTTTCAGTGAAAAACCAAGTGAAAAACTTGTAACTTCTTCATGAATTTTTTGAACTTCAAAACTTTTTCAGCACTTTTTCAGAAAATTTTCCCAAGGTTCAAAAAGGTCACCAAAATGTTTCAAGTTTTTCACCTACTTTTTTGGCGAAAAATTACTGTAAAATTCAAAACATTTTTCACCAAAATTTTCAGTGCAAAACTTGAAATGTTCAACCAGTGTCTCTGAGGTGTTTCTGTGCGTTTGGATAGCGGGTTTTGTTGCGCCAAAGGCTGAAGACCATTGCAGGTCCAAACCGGGCTTCGGCCGTGGATTCCGAGGCGAAGAAACCCATGAAGTGTGAGATTCTGATCGTGACAGTGGGGATTTCGGTGACAAAAAGCCAGTGGAGGAGCTGTCTAGTCGAGATGGACAGGAAAACCATGAGAGAGAAGACGAGATGAAGCTTGGCTTCGAGGTTAATGCCCTTCAATTCATCCTTCGAGAATTTGGACTGCCAGTAGTCGTTGTCATACTGGAGAGTAGCCAGGATGGAGATTGGATGGGTAGCAATGGAGGTGAGTTACGGCGAGGCAACACGGGCGTGGATGCTCGAGAGACAACAATTTTCGGCGCTGAATCAAAACGAGTCACTAATGAGACGCGTACTGTCACGCGGCGCGTCACACTACCCGATTCGGTCAGGAAACTGGCAACACATTTTCTCGATGACTGAAAACACTATTGGAAATTTTTTTGCTGAGAGACCTGCTGTAAATAATCATCCACATCGATCGAGCCCATAAAATTGAAGGGAATCGACAAAAGTTGCCTGGGTCTGGCGGGAATTGATGGGAAAAGTTGTCGACAAAGGTCTCAATGTGCAATAGGAACGACTGATACTTTCTCAAAACTAAATAAGCAGATGTCTGCGGTACTATCTAACGAACAAATTATCAGCTTACACTAAGTGAATTGGATTTGAAATGGGGGAGAAATTCCCCTCAGAACACACCCTTTGTTTTCTTGAGTTTGGACCAAGCCTCTCTCCGAGATAGTCCGGCGCGCCGGACCGGAGACAGGCTTGCTCCGAACCTAAGTGAAAACATGTAGATACGCTTGACGTGACTTTGACGCGACGCGACACGTGAGTACTTAAATAGGAATCGGGTCACGTGTTCTGTACCTCCTTGTGCACCTATCCGAATCGGGCAGGAGCATCACGATCACTCAATCGGACGACTATCATGCCGTTGTGTTGCGGGCTTTTTATAGATGGCGCGGTCTACGGTCGCCGGGGGGGGAATTTACAAGCACGGTCGCTGACTCAGATCTCTTCCTCTTCCTTGTCCGGACCCCCACTCCTTTCGGCAGACGCTCTTTTCCTTGCCTCGTTGAGATGCGCTGCCGGAGTATGTTACTTGGGTCGGTGGTGCTGTTGGGTGCGACATGCGCGCGCGCCGCCACGACCGAGGCCGACCAGGCCACCATTGAGGGTGTGTTTCTTTCGTCTTCTGTGGAATGTCGCTCGTCCTTCGTCTGACTACACATCCAGACCCCTTCGCGCAGTGCACATACTCCCCGTACGCACCCATAGCGGCGGCGAACGCCACGGGAATCTACCCCTCCGTCTGGGTGCCCGTCACAAAAATCACCCCCAACGACGCCGCCGGACAAGCAAAGTTCGCCTCCTTCAGCGCGAATATCCCGAAAATCGCGCCCAAGGTGCGTCTTGCATTCTTTTTTTCTTCTCCTTCGCTCCCTTTTCTAACTGCGCTCGCTCGCCAGGGCACATTCGGCGCAGAAGCGCCCTTCGACGGCTTCACCTACTCCGACGCGGACCCCGACTGCTGGTGGACGCGCTCGCAATGCGTCGTGCCCAAGGTCGCGGGTCTCAACCCCGATATCGCTACCGTGCCTGAGGTGCGTCTCCCTCCTCTCCCTCCCTCTCCTTTTCGTTCCGCGCCTTCCCCCCCACTCACCTCACATTTATATCGATTAGCCGCGCACCCTCGGCTACGGCTTCGACGACGGCCCCAACTGCTCACACAACGCCTTCTACGACTATCTCACGGAGCAGAAGCAGAAGGCTAGTGAGTTGTAATTACCGCGCTCTCACGCCGACGTCCCAGCGCTGACGCACTTTCCCCCCCGCAGCGATGTTCTTCATCGGCTCGAACGTGATCGACTGGCCGCTCCAGGCACAGCGCGCGGCCGTCGACGGGCACGAGATCTGCGTCCGTGAGTAGCTCTTCTTCTTCCTTCCTTTTCATCACCCCTTCCTTCGCACTTCTTTCTTCCTTGTGGCTGATTTGCACTTCCCTGCGCATGTATCCAAGTACCGATTCGCGTGTGTCCACGTACTGATTCGCACTTCTTCCCGCGTATAATATAGACACCTGGTCCCACCGCCCCATGACGACGTTCACCAACGAGGGCGCCTTCGCCGAGCTGTGGTACACGCTGCAGGCGATCAAGCTCGTGACGGGATATACGCCCAAGTGTTGGCGGGTGCGTCCAACTTCCTTTCATACCTCCCCTTTCATTTATTCAATATTTATTTACTTACATTTTCGCCAGCCCCCCACCGGCGACATCGACGACCGCATCCGCTACATCGCGTCCCAGCTCGGCCTCGAGACCGTTCTCTGGAAGTTCGACTCGTTCGACTACACCACCACCGACCCCGCGGTCGTGCAGGGCAACTACGACGGCTTGTTGGGCAACTTGAGCGCGGGGGTGTTTGATACGGTGCGTTTCTCTTATCTATTCCGTTTCGCTCCTAGCACGAGCTGACTGATATGATATAATTGGCACAACACAGGTCGGCGCGATCATCCTCGCGCACGAGCTGAACAACTTCACGATGCAGATGGCGGTGGAGAATTACCCGCGGCTCGCTGCGGCGTTTGATGTGCGTTTTCTCTCTCTTCCATTCATCGTTTTCTTCTTGCGAGTTGGGAGTCGTACGCGTACTGACATGACTTTTTCTGCCCACAGCACATGGTCCCGATCGCCGTCTCGCAGAACAAGAGCAACCCCTACGTCGAGACCAACTTCTCGATGCCGTCGTTTGCGGAGTGTGCGTAGCCTTCATTTATTTCCCTCCATTCTCCTCTCCCCGATTTCGCTGTCCCATTAACCATCCGCTGTCATCCTTCGCCCCGCAGACATCGCCGCGCACCCCAAATCCGACGTCACCAACTCGTCTTCCACCTCCTCGGGCTCCGGGGCGAGCAGCGGGAAAAGCAGCGGCAACAGCAGCAGCATCGGCGGTGCCAAGGGCACCGGTGCCGCCGTCAACCTGCGTCTGCGTCTGCCTACCACGGCCGCGGCGCTCCTGTTCGTGATGGCGGGGGCTGCGGTCCTCCTCTGATGCAGTTGGGGGAAGCTATGGTCATGGCGTAGAGCGCCTAAAACTACTCACGCACGGACTCCTCTCTGGGAATGAGACGAGACTAGAGCTAGGCTACGTCTCGGCTACGTACGTTACTGACTTATCACGACATGGTGGGGTGGGGTATTTGTCGCCATTCGTAATATACCCAATGCAACCGCTTTTTATGGTTCGAACGGAGTGTGTTATTACTCTGCATGTAGGGTGCTTGAAGAAACTTACTCTAGGGTGCTTCAAGAACGCGGGGAAAAGAAGTTCGCTTCGAGCCAGGTGTTGTTTGTTATCCTTCCTCCCCAAGTGTTGATGAACTCTGTGGCTCGATAATATGCGAACGGACTGGGTGTGAAACGGCTCGCGGATGCACTCGTTGCAGATATTCACATGTGGGTCGCCCGTTCGACTCGGGGTCAGTCCCTTTGGTCGTAAGCGGGTTTGTTCTACTCAGACGGAAAGTGGGAAACTGGCTGAGGCATTAGTAATCCAATGTCGTGTGATATACTAATTTCATTCATTGTCAGACGGTGTTAACCAGCTGCGGCGAGTTGAACCCAGGGCCCGATCTCTGGTTCTGGAATGTCCTCGTGAAGTACAGTACCGTAGACTTCAAATTATAAAATTACATCTGCCGGTTCTGGTACTTCCACTATGCTTATTCGATGGCCTTCAATCGCATTGAGAGTAATCTCTTTCAATCGAGAGAAGAGTACATATATATATACTTCTCCCGCAGTGGTAATTTAAATCCTGGCAGTGACTAAAAATCTACTGTATCTGTAATGAGAAGGAAAAAAAATGTCGTAAATGAGTAGCGATGTGCTTGGCTTGGCTTTAAGCCCTGAAGCTCCGGAGCCAAAGCCCTGCCTTTGGCCAAGCCGGACCCGGGGCTTCAGTAGGGCTTTGGCTTTGGCCTCAGACATGGGAAGCCAAAGCCGGGGCTTCAAGCCCTGGCTTTGCCCCTCAAAATTTTCAATGCTCTGTGGGCATTTTGATTGTACATTTTGATTTTTCGCATTCCCATCCACGGATTTGCACAGGGCTTATACATTGTCTTAATGCCCTATGCCCAATGCGAAAAGCCATCAAAGCCTCGGCATCCTCCGTACTAGCGGTACAACACTGTAGAAGTAGCTCAGGTCAGTGGAAAATGCAACGAAACTTATGAGGCTGACTCATTCCCACCAGCAGCTCCCGCAACATCAACCGTGCGCTGCCCGCAAAAAAATCCCTCAAGCCGGGGCTCAAGCCAAAGCCAGGCCAAAACCAAGCCCTGGGGTAGGGCTTGGATTTGGCTTCAGCTCCTTGAAGCCAAAGCCCCACGAAGCCAGGCCAAAGCCGGGGCTATGAAGCCGAGCCAAGCCAGAGCATCACTATAGATGAGGAACCATGCCTTCGGGTGGGGTCGAACCACCTGCTCTCCATGTACTCGCTATCCTCGAGCAAGACGGAAGTGAGGTACCGCACTCCACGATTGTTCTGACCTGAAGCACCTTGGATATGTGATCAGATTTTTGGGTGCCAGGCGGAAAGCCTGGGAAGATGAGCATTTGACGTTGAATAGGTAGCCACTACATTGTGGATGTGGGGGAAAAAAAACGACAAACCAAAACCAGGTCTTCGGGTGGATTCGAACCACCTCCCCTCCCATTACTTGGCATTCGTGTCTTCGAACAGGAGGGGAGTGAGTTGCATTGCTCCACGAAGACTTGAGTACCTTTAATTTAGGTTGAATAGGCCGTAGCGAATACATTGCGAGTGTGAAAAAGTGACATTACCAACTGGTTCTCTGGGTAGATTCGAACCACCTTCTGTGCTTTTACTGGTCGGGAACTGTTTAATTTGACCATACAAAAGGAAAGAATATAATTACGTCTTAGGGTGGATTGGAACCATCTGCTCTCCTTTTGGCACTGTGAATGGCACAGGGAAAGAGTTGGGATATTCTACGAAGACTTGAGTACCTCAGTCTACAAAATAATACACAGGCGAGAAGACAGCTTGGTGTGCCGATGCGGGGTCACTGCATGCTGTGTTCAGCATCGAACGACGAAGCCAATTAGAGAGATGCTCACGAGCTGTCCGCACCGCTTCCTCGAACACGGCCTGCATGCCCATAAATAAATAATAGGCACCTCAAGTGTAAGTGGTGAGTATAGTACATACCTTCACCCCCACCTGTGTTGGCGCCGAACACTCGAGATATTTAGCGGCGCCGATCCTTTTGGCCAGTGCGGCACCTTGGGCATACCAAATTGGTCCTGTTTGGCTAACGGCACCAATTCAACATCAGCAGCATTCACGTGTTGGGAGCCTCACCGATCCAGAGGCTTCCCAAGCTCTTCCCGTAAATCAAGTTTCAGACCGACCAGAACGATGGGTGTTCCCGGGGCATGGTGCGAAATTTCAGCGTACCACTACCGAGATGTGATATTGAATTTGTGATATTAATGTTGTAGCGCGCTGTAGATAAACATACCCTGTTGCGCACGTTGTCAAAGCTAGTTCTATCGGTGAGCGAGAAACAAATCACGAAAACATTCGTGTAAAGGTAGCACAGAGGGCGGAGGCGGTCGTGTTCCTCCACGCCAACGGTGTCCCACAGGCCGAGCACGATGGTGGTTCCGTCGACCTCGATATTTTCGGTGTAGCTGTCGAAGACTTGTACAATCAATGGGTGAATGGCAGCGGCAGAGGGACGGGAGAGGCAAACCAGTCGGAATATAGTTTCCCTGCGCACACATGAGATGAATTGAATGCAAGGAGTATTGATGGGGGAGGACGGAGGAGGACGGACTGGGAATGTCCTGGTGGTGTACGAGATACACAGACACGTCTGGGATTCGGGATCAGCAGGCGCATTATGCACGATGATAGAGATAGCCACTCGCTGACCTTGCCAACACTGGCATCGCCCACAAGAACACCTGGAATTCATCAGCAAGGGAGTTGGAATATAATAAATCTATATTAGCTGTGCTTGAACAACCCACGTCTCAACACTAAACAGTGTTCAAATAATGTTCTGATTAACGCCAGGGCCGGGGGACCAGGAACCCTGGTGGCTGCTTAAACAGAGCACCGATTAAACACTGTTCAGCTTAAACACCGTTGAACAGAACAAGAAATGTATCCAAAAAGTGGCTATCACTAGGTTTGAACTCGAGATATCCTGCTACCAGGAACAAACAGCTACAGACAACTTAGCCTCTACACTAATAAAGTCATATAGGGATGGGCACGGGTCCGGGTCTGGGTATGAAACAGTCAACCCGGACCCGGACCCGGAAAACCCGGACCCAAACCCGCGGGTCTACGGGTTGTCCACGGGTCGTCGGAATTGATCGGATCATGCCTGCCGAAGCTTGCCGGCACAGTTTAACACCTTCAAAACTGAAATATGCTCACTAATTGAGGTTTTTAAATGCATTGGGTGCTTAACAAAACTTTGGAGTACCTCTCATAGCTGTGAGCCATGTCAAACTGCCTTGAAATGACTTAAATTGCACAATAAATTCAATGTTCGCAGACCCGTGGTGTACCCGAAGGGTTTCGGGTCTACTAAAATTGGAACCCGTACCCGTACCCGGGCCGACCCGACCCGGAAACCCGGCGGGTTGACCCGTACCCGTCCTCCACAGAACCACGGGAGGGTTTAGTGGGTAGTGGCAGTGTTCTGGTGAGTCCCACAGTACCGTGACTTCATTTTCTCACGTGTCTGCGTAAATGCATTCCCGCCCAGGGCCACTCGCCACCTCAGCCAAAGCACCAGCGGCACGACGGGTGTCACTGAGCAATGCTTCTGCAGAGGCGGTGGCACTACACCAAACGTCCCAAAAAAAAAAAAAAAAAAAAAAAAGAAGGTTCTGTCGTATTTGGCAAGTAACAGATGGAACCACATGTCGTATTATCATTGGTTCAGAAATAGAGACTATCAGTAACAATGGCAATGGCCAAGCCACTGCCAAGCGGCTCTGCCTAGTCGCTGCGTGTTCCCAACACTCTCTCTTCTGTACCACAATGACCTTTCTCTCCATCAAGCATATCTGGATGCCGGACATTATTTACAACTCAAAGTTAACCATGACCATTTGAATCCCGCCACTCTGTGAGCTCTCCAAAATGCAACCTCGATCGCAGACACCCGTCAACCACCTGTTACTCCAATGGCTTGGGATCGTTCCAAACATCTTTTCATCCGTGCAACATCACTGAATATACTCGCCCTCCGATCTTTGCTCCTCGACACTGCTTGGGGCTAACCTGACACTCGTGCGATTGTGGAGCCATGCAGTTACGGCAAACCTGGCCGCTTCAGCGAGACCTATGGTGCGGGTCGCCTAGCTGCCGCTACCCGAGATTAGTGGCCAAATCGGCTGGAGAAAAATTTTGGCCCTGGACACAGCCACAATCAGCCAGTTTTTTTCATTATTTCCCCTGCTTGTGGCCAAATTGGTGGGCATGTTTTTTTTTACCTCCTTCAGTTTTGATTTAAATAAAAATCGCTCTTTCAGATCTTCTTGTATCCTTAAAAGAAGCACTTTTGGAAGAGGGATAAGAAATCTGGGCAAAACTGAACCTGGAAAATCTCAAGCACAGGGTAGCAGCGGCTAGGTGACCCACACCATAGCGAGACCTACAGCATCAAGCCCATCATTCCTTCTATTAATATGACCAGGATCTCTCTACGGCTTCACAATGTATGAGACCAGTCAGGGAAACCGTTGTTATTATGGGTTTTCAAGTCAAGAGTGGCGCGACGGGGCAGTCACATCTTCCATTAGATACTCACCAAGAAACCAACAATCCTGAGGATCACCATCAGCACCGCCTCCACAGCGATTCCCGCTGTGTGGGAATATTCCCACTTCCGAATATATCTAGAAGACAGTGTCGCCGCCACCACCTGATGCATAAGTGTCGCTGTTGCGCTTTATTCCCTTCCTCCTTTCTTTCTTCCTTCACGGCCTTACAACATATTTCCTCGCATTCCCCGTCATCTGGGCCCAATGTCCATCAAATTACTGCAGCGCGGCATGCAGAATAACTTAGAAATCACCAACAGATTCCACAGTACGTCTCAGCATCGTCTTCCTGGATATTTCCTGAGGAGTGCATACATCACAGGCTGTGTCGCAGGGGGTCCCAACGGCACAAATGCCACCCTCACCACCTGCTGCACTGCTGTGGGCAGCTCTCCCGTGTCTGCAAATGGCATGTACGGCTGCCCCTTCAACTCCGTGTTCGACTCTGCCGTGAACATGAGCACCTTCATGGCCTGCACGTTGAAAGCTGGCAGGGGAAGCTTTTGTCGAAATCCAGACCAGCCCAATGGCAGCAGCGCCGTCATTGGTCCTCTGCAGTGGAACTTTGCCACAGGCCTTCTCTTGGTTGGGGTTGTGTTGGGCACATTGAGCGAGTGATCATTGGATCAACTAGCAGTTATGCTTAAAATCCTCCCACCATATGCAACGACCTGCCCATTTGTGTGCTGGTTCTTCCTTACATATTGACTGTAGTCTATCGGTGACATGTCGTGTTGATCCAACCTATCAAGATTTGCTCCATTCACCCAGCAGGACTTCCTACTGTTTCCTTTCATTGAAACTGCCCATTGGCTCCAACCTAGGAACCTCGCAGAATAATATTATTCCTGGCTCACAATAATAATATTATTGACCTAGTAACTAGGGTTCGGCCGAGAATCCAGCGGATTTCGGGGGACCCTAGACTCTAGGAATTAATCATGCATAGGGGGCCTAGACTTTAGGGCATTGTGGACTGCAGGCACTGGCGGAAAATGCCATGCTGCCACTGATTGCCCGGGGCAATACCGAGTGACTTCTTTGTTTTACAAGGTTTTCATGAGGTTGAATTGAGAGTCCTTTCTATGCATCAGGCACATTTATTTCTCACCTTTTGCCTATTCAAGTTTTGGTGTAGTGAACCTGAGGATTGCCATACATTTCAATTGGCATTGGTTTGAACTGGAATTGGAATCTGATTCTCACTAGTTTCATCCCTGTTACTATTTGGCTATGTCTGACCCGACGAATACTATCCATTGTTGGAATATTGACTTGGCGAACGATACTGCTCATAAGCCATGGCAATAGGAATCAAGATATCTGCGAGGCAGAGTCTAGAACGATGGCAACTGGTATCATACACTGCCCACTATTGCAGTCCTTGTTGATACAGTTCCCTTGATTTGTTACCTACCATACGAGAAGTCCTACAGTATATAAGACCTTACTGTATATTGTATTCCTTACTCGTTTGCAACAAACTAGTGTACCTGCTTGGGCCAAATGTGATCCTCAAAGGTGTTCCTCGACTACAGCACTGAACCCAATGATAAGGCATGTATCTACACACACATGAAAATCGCATTTTTGTGCCTTTTCATCCTTAAGGCCTTTCATCTAGACAAGACCAGTACATATCCTCCCTGGGATAGTGTACTTAGACTGTAGAAGGCCGCAAGCCAGCTTAAAGAAACTAAAACCAGAGTTATTAGATCTAAGCCGACCTGGCTAAGGTTGGACTAGATCAAGTTGACTTGCCCGTGCTGGGCAGAGTTCTGCGGGAGAGTTTGTGCAGGCCCACCCGCTGAAGTCTGTGCTCGAGGTCAATCAAGGGGAACTATGGAGGAGCTAACAAAGGCGGTATTGGCTTGATAACAAGCTGGTGGTAGTTGAACTCCTAC